GAAGCCAATCAGAATCGATTAACGGGTACCTCCCATACAAAATTGTCGATGTTTTAGTTAAAGTGACCGATTTTTTACTTTATTTTTATTATTATATTTTCGCTGCCTTCATTTCGAGACAATTCACAAAAAATAACCAAAAGTACCTACGGACAACGCAGGCCAACGGTACGGAAAAGTTCGGGATTACCAATGTAATTCTTTTTATTTGAATCAATGCATTCATAAATAATTACCCATTAGTTGAAATAAAACACTTGTGATTTTCGCCTTGAGTAGAAAAATATCTTGGAATTAAAAGTTAATTGAAATCTTCACCTTATGGCAGATAACCACATTTATTAATGAAAAAAAGGCGAATTTGAAATTATCTTTAGCTTTCCGTTGCTTTGTCTTCAATCCATAAGCTGCCATAGATGTGGTATGTTTATTGCGCAATGGCGCCGCTTTTGAGAGCTCGCGCACACCTTTACTCGTTCACTCAAGCCCCCATGTGTCGTTTACTTAGTTTACCATGCAGCAATTCAATACTCTATTTGAATTCGTTTGCTACTTTCAACTTCGTTTTCGTTTTTAATCATTGGTGTTAACATAAATCGTGATTTCGACATTTCGCAATCAAAAGGGAAACCAAACCAAAACGTAGACGGAAAAAAATGCATTCTGCTTGAAAGATATGTTCCAGCATTTGAATGTATAAGATGCAGAAATTGGCTGCAAAACAAAGCTAAATGTGTTTGTGTTTCACTTAATTTACGGAATCAAGATAGCAATAATCTAAATTGCAACACGTTATGAAAATTTTCTTGACTGTCGTTCTTATTGCTGGTTTTTTTCTTCTTTCTTTCTTCTTCTTCTCCTCCGTCTGTTTAGTGATTTTTATCGTATTAATACACAATACAATCGAAATTTCGGTCGCAATAAATTCAATTGATTTTGTCATACTTCCGTATCGATTGCTTGCATAAAAATCACAAATATACACAAACATTAAAGACAAAGAAAACGAATCGATTATGCTAAAATGCTGAACATGCTACAAACATATATTCAAATGACAACTATACATTAAAATTTAAATGTCGAAAAAATTGTTTACAAATTGTAGAAGATGCAAGTGAATTCCATTATATAATCTACTAGTTTGCAAGCTGGTTTCGATAAATGATACACAACAAGCCATAAGTGTTGACAAATGGCAACCGATTTCACAAACTGATTATGATTTTTTTTTGTTCATTTGTCAATTTTTTTAGTTGTTTTTCGCTCGTTCAATTTACGATTGGAGTTCAACAATGTTTTACCACGCTAAAATGATGTAAAAATCTTGTTCGATGTTTTCATTTTACATATAAATTCGTCACCAAGCCCAGAATATGAATCTATTTACTTATGATACTTACTCGTGATATGATGATCCCAGCGATACTGATACGAATTCGGGGTCCTTTTAGCAAACGATAGCGCAAATCAACTCCATTCCAAAATGATACAAAGTACCTTTTGATCTAAAAAAAAATATATATCCATATACGGAACATTGACAATCAAAAATCATTTTGATATTTTTTGTGAAATCTAATTATTTTTGATTGAAATGTGAGCAGCACTTACTTGTGTATTGTCACCGCCATGTAGTCGATAGCCATCATAATCGACGATAACCAAAATTTCAGGATAAATTATATGTGGTATGGCGCGCTTTGATCGCTTTAAAACCTCTTCAGAAAACGTCTTAGTCGCTGAGCGCTTCTTGCGATAACGTTTTTTTAAACGGTCCGGTTCCATAAAAGCTGTGAAGTGCCAGTATTTTTTTAGAGGTACACATTGACAATTATATCAAATGTCATTTGAGTCAATGATTTTTGTTTCGCTCCGGTAATGGTGGCATCGTACTTTGTAAATATAGACAGTGTGTACTTACCAAAATCACTAAATTGATCGGCAGTGTCAACTTTCCGTTTGTAGACGATGTGGTGTGCCTTACCATTTGAACTTTCATCATTTATTAATCCATGTGGAACTGGTTTGATGACCACATCTTGACCAATGCTTCCTTCCTGTAAATATATGATCAGATTATAATAAGTAATTGCAGTTGATGTCTATTTTGTTACACTAGTTTCAAGAGCTTCGAATTTGCCTCTATACCCAACTGTTTCGCGGTGCTAGATCCAAAAATCAATTTTTTCTACATTATGCTTTGCCTCATGACAATTGGTTGATTTGTTTTTTTTTTATGTATTCTATTAAATTGAATTATTTGGATGATATGAACGTGCTTCCAAATGAAACGGTTGCATCAACATTTATTCTGAAATACATTTTGGCCGGATGCTATTAAAATTGCCCTTTTTTCTCAATATAGTTTCGTTTTCATTTACTTCTATTGCTTCCTTTCCATATTCCATATTCCATAAAGATTTTTTTCTGGATTTATTGAATGGGTTTGTTGCCCATTTGAGTCTATCGATTTCTTGTTTCCATAGCGTCATACTAATACCATGAACATTAACATAATTATATTTCACAATATCAGTACAAAATTTCTTACCAAGTAAAAATATTATGTCTTATGTGTGTTCCAACTTTTCTCTGTCAACTATACAGTAAGCGACCAAAAAAGTGGAAAAAAGTAAAACAAGAAACGACTCTATGTCGACATGAGTCTTCTATTGTTCATTTGAACCAAATATGCGGTGTTTGTTGTTTTCATCATCGCCGAGTAAAGATTTTCATTTTTTTTTTTTCGTTTTTTGAAAAGAATCGTTTTCATTGTATAAAAAAGCTAAATACTGCTTTAGCCTTTAACCTTCAATTCCAAATTTAACAACAGCGACAACAAAAACAATAAAAAAATGTGCTGTGCAACCCAAAAAATGAAACTCAACCTACGAAACGACGAAGAAAAACAACAGCAACAAACGGCACATAGATTTATGTGTGAAGAGAAAAATACCGACAATAATCAAACGAAACAAAATATTCACACAGATACACACCTGTGATTTGGTTGCTAGCCACAAAATTAAGTATCTATGTATCTCTGTCTCCCTTTCGAGTTCTCGTAACAGAAATCCATCGTTTCGATATATATTGCTTGTAGTCAACGCAATGAAATTGAAAAATAGAAAAAAAAAAATAATGGCTCGGCTGCTACTTTCAAACTCGATATGTAATGAATTCGTCAATAAATACATTGGCGTATAGCAATACTAGATTTTAAGAAAAAGTTGTTTCAAATAGATAGAACGGATGATCATTTTTAATGTAAGAGGAAAATCCGGGTTCTCTTTCTCAAATTTATGGTTATTGATTTTTCAAATATCCGAAATGAATAACTGTCCAAAATAGGAACATTTGTTTGACAATGCACATGCACAAACAAACAGACAATAAACGCATCTGTAGTTATTGTAAAATGTTAAAAATAGCTGATTCAAAAATACGCTTATGACTTACTAAATTAAGTGCATATAAATACATCCAACAAAGTTACTCATCGGTAAGAAAAAGTATAAATGAATTGCCGTCGTCTCAGAATTTCAGTTTACTTCAATATGTTTTTTTGTCGAAGTTTTGCTTTACATTATAGTTTTTGTTTTGTTTTGGTTTGGCTCTTTACAATCTTGAAAATGTTAAAGCAAATAGACCGAAAAAAATCTCTTCGCCACATACTCGAATCGTATAAAAGAAAACGGTTCAATATACTCTGGTGTGAGGCCATCGACGTTGAGTTGCATTACCAGCTCTCGCTTTTCATTCCAGCATGTCAAATGAATTAGAGTTTCAGAATTCAGGTGAGGTGCCAGCCAATCGATTAATAACAAACATACTTTATGGCATTTTATTGGAAAATCTATATATGCCTGATGATAATTTCTGTCGATATTCATTGATCACCTGTTGTACACAGTTAGTTTTTTCTTGGGTCCGTAGGACAGTAAGAGTGTGAGAAAAACCTTGACCTCTGCTATTCGGATGCTGTTTTTTTTATCCCTACTCGCTTTCAATGATCGTTGACCGGTCCTTCACATCTCCCATACATGGATACCCAATATTGGATTCATATCTTCATTAGCACTACATAAAATGTAGAGCTACTAATCTGGTTTTTTTTCCTAATACTTTTTGAGCCATGAACAGAATTAAAGTGGCTTTCAATTTTATGTTCATATTTTTTATTCAATTTCAGAGATGACTTTAGCGCACCCGAGTATTTTTGTTTTTTTTAGCACTACCATAGGGAAAGTGCCAAAATACATTTCAAATGTAAGTCATTTTACACATAGCAGTCAATGCCATCTCAATTCCAACTCATTGAATCATTGTATTTTTCGGGAACTTTTTTCAAACGTGTATGGCTTTACTAGAATATAATCAACTTTACGGCGACGCTAACAGCTTCTCTGTGGGCCGGTACTACGCGTAAAAAAAGCCAAAACGTATTGATGTTTCGCAATGGTTACTCGATGCATTTGCCAAAATACTATGATTTTTGTACTCTCTTCTACGATGTGTGTGCAGAGAAGCTGCTAGTGTCGCCGTAAAATTGATTATATTCAACTCAAGCCACACACGATTGAAAAAAAGTTGCTCGAAATATTCGATGATTCAATAAGTTGGTTTAGTATAAGTATTCCGGCAATATATTTATGAGCACTACATGAAATGTAGAGCTACTAATCTGCTTTGTTTTTCTAGATACTTTTTGAGTGTTGAAACAAATTATGGTGAATTTGAATTTTATGCTCATATTTTTTATTTAATTTGAAACAGTGGCAGTAACGACAAATAAGTGCATAGTATCTCGAAACGCTAATCAAATTGTTATTACCAAATGTTGTTTGAAAATTACATTAATTTTTCGTATAATATTTTCTGAGTCTTGAACAGAATTAAAGTGACTTTCGATTCTATGCTCATATTATTTTTTCAATTTAAACCAGAGACAGTATGTATATTTCAAAAAAGAAATTAAACCAAGATCTTGTAATTCATTATTGAGATAACTGAGAAAATCTTTTTTCTGTACCTGTTTTGTTGTAAATATATATCCTTCGTACTATGCTTTTAATCCATAGTGTTATTGAAAGGAATGACTTTTAATGATATATTAATGCAAAGTTACTTCGATGAAATACATTTCATGTAGTGCACAAAAAAGTAGTTTGTTGTGAAACAACAAAATAGAATAAGTAACTAAAATCTCAAGAACGCAGAGTGGAGCGAAGCGACACTCTGCGGTATTGTTTTTATAATACAGTGATTTTAATAATGACCGTATGTCTCGATGTGTGAGTGAACTATTTCGACGCATCTATCTTCTATCTCATGAGATGCTTCAGATGTATTTCGGATCAACACATTAACATCTCTCCCGCTCGATCATATTCAAAATAAAGGTGTGAATTTATTTTCTGCGCTTCATGTTAGATAACAATCTTTTGCTGACCTTTTATTTTTTTTATAAGACGTTTTATATAAATATCATATTGGTTAATATTTTTTGAATGGTTTCGATCACATATCAAAGAAGACCTGAGGGATATTTTTCTCCTCTGTTACATTCGCTGCACTCTGAACTAAAAAATCTGTTTTATGAGGAAACATGTTTTCATTTTTGGTATTACCCGTACAATCTAACCAAAATTCGATATATAAAAATTAGCAATATTCCATATGCAAATATTCTTTTAGTATCACTTGAGTAATCATTCATTCAATGCACAAATTATTTCAAGATTTTAAAAAAACCTAAAATAATCACTAGAATTAAATGTCGGCTAAATGTTAGGTTTTGTTGACAAAATTAATTGCACATCGGATAGATTGAGGCGATTAAAAATGAAAGTTACGTTTCAACTGCGTACAGTTTCTACTTAATAAGGTTTTTGTTCATGATTTGAAGCAGTCGTAACGAATGTATTTGAGTGTATATATGTGTGTGTATGAGTGACCATGTGAAATGGAAATATTGGGATAGATAAACATGCGACACATCAATCAATGTGTGTAAGAGTTTGCTGAGCTGCTCAGACTTTAACGCGTAGAGTTGTGTGTTAATGAAATGGTCAAAGTAATCATCAACGAACGAAACAATAGCAACTGATGACGATGCGATTACACTGTGCTGGGGAAATTGAATGATTTTGAAAATTCAAGGTTTTTCTGTAAACTGTTTTTTTGTTCGTACGATTCAACTGTGTATGTAATTAGCAGAAACAAAATCAAATCGTTGATGAATACTGAATGATAATAAAGCTTTGTGACTACTGGCAGTGACCTGAGTGAATTTGACGAATATTGAAACATAGAGGACAAAAAACGGCATTGTAGATATAATTTTTTTTCTCTTCAATCACACCACAGGTTTGCAAACTTAGCATGGTGTGCGCGTGCAGAATAACATTATATAATGTGAAACATTAATACAGAGCAAACAATGTGAATGATGCTGATGGTTTGGTTTCACCTGAATAATTTCCTTTTTGAAGTATTGTTATTATCGAGATAAAGAAACACCGTCACAACAATTTTGGGTCCAATTAAATTCGAATGTGTTAGTAAAAACTAGGTGTAAAAGGAAAACATATTTACCATCAATAGATCGCCATTTTCCAATTGACGACGCATTAAAATTGCGGCCATATTCCGCTCATCTTGAAACACTTCACCAATGTGTTCACTGGGTTCCTGCAAAGTGAATAAAAAACAGATGATCAAAACTATACTCGCTAAATATAATTTATTGCTAGTTTTTTTTTCTTGCTTCCAGACTATACTTTTAGCCTTTCCTACAAATTTATGGTTCTATTTTCATCACTGTTGAACATAAAAAAATTGAAATGAAATACTGCATATTCCTACTGGAATGTGTTGTATTATTTATTATTTAAGAAAACCAGTCGCTGGTTTTGTGCATCATTCCATGAAATGTGTTATGTGGCTCAGTGTTGAGTAATAAAAAAGTTTTCGTCGATTTTATGTTGATATTTGTGTTTTCACTGCAAAAACTATAACAGTCAATTGTTTTCGTTTCGTGCTTTTATTTTCATTCATTTTGTTTGGATTGTGAGTGATTGATTTGTACTAATATAGTTTGGAAATAATATCAGTATGCTATATCCGCAACAATTGTTATTACTATTCACACCTACAATGTAGGTAATTCACGCAACCAACATTCCATAGGAAGACATAACAATGGAATAACAAAAAGAGTTTAGCTCTTGCCCGGCATGTGCATGCTCGCCAATTCAAAAGCTACAAATAAGCACTGAGTAAATAAAACCGCATTTTAATACGATTTAATTTGATTGCACATTGTACATTGCACTGCGTTTTTCGTGCTCCATTGGCGTTTTTTTTTTTCATTAACTCTTATTTATTTATTTGGGAAATGTTGTTAGACTATGGCACTAGTTCCATTGTTTGAACGTTCGTGATCTGGTTTCTTTGCGTTCTTTTCAATGGGCAGAACTGGCCTATAAGTTTAGTGAACATTTATTGATTTTTTACCGTTTCCATTTTATTTCAGATCGCATCTAGGTGCACAGTACGATTGAGCTTCAATTTCGACATATCAAGTTTTGTGAGAGCAAAAAGCAAATGACATTTATTTATCGCTTAACTAAAGCATATAATCCTTTTTTCCATTGTCTCTCTCGCTCTCTTTGCCCTTCTCTCTCTATATATTCTGCCTCTTCTCATTTGACTTACACATTGTCATTTTTCCGTTTTGATCTCTCACCACATGTCTGACGTTGATTCATTCAAACTCCGCAATTTCAAAAGCAAATTGAAATAAAAATCAAATTATAGCTCGATTTATATGTCATGCAAACGTTGTCTCCTAACACAGACACAAAAATTTACAGATTCAGATACAGGCAAAAAGCACATACAATAATCAGTGCGAACCGCGGAATACAATGATGAAAGATCGTTTATTGGTGGGGCGACTAAATGATTCCATGAATCGCAATGCGGGGCGAACAAAGCAATATAAAAGTAGCAACGCACATCAAACAATAAACTGGATCCAAATAATGTGCCTGCAAATCAGGTTGCTAATATTTTTCTCTTTATATTTTTCTATTAATTTTCTATTCAAATTAACTCTTAGCCTGTTGTATTTGGATGTGTACGCGACACGATGACAGCAGCTAATGAGCAACGCAAACATCAATTTGCTATTTTTTACGTGTGAATCACACATACATGCAGCATACGAATTACGAATACAGCTGTGTGTGCATATTGTTAAAGTAAATGTCAACGAATAAATGAATGAATAAAAAACAAATCCAACAACAACAGCAAAATAAATTTGAATATATCTCTTTTGATAAGACAACATTAATTGGTGTTTGTGGCTTTTCTTTGTTATAACTTACTTTAGTATAGTACTGGACGTTAAATAGCATGATTGTCTCTCTTATTTCTGATTTCTTTTGTTCCTTTCACATTATTATCAAAAACGCATTTTTGCCGTTTTGCTTCACACCATTTACACACATGGCTACAATTGAATAACACAGCCAACCGTTGGACTTTAATTTATTTCTGAATGGGGGAGGGTTTATACAAATATCCTTTAAATGTATTCACAAAATTTATGTTCCTCTTATAAGCCATAAATTCGTTTTATTTGAAATAATTTACGTTATCCGAAAAGAACACAATTGAAATTGAACATTAGCGCCTCTTCAAAATGACCAGAAAAACTGCCATTCAATCAAAGATTTTAATGTTGTAAAAATGAACACCATTTATAATATGGATCATTTTAAAACAGCTTTCATTATTTGGCATATATATTTTTTTCTTGACGACGACGGAGACAATGATATGGCAGAAACGGTAAATGATATACAAACAAACAATTACATGCTGCGTCTATCCCATAGTGTGTTATTCTTGTATATAGCAACCACACTGATGACGTCATTCTGAAATTTTCTGCATTTTTCTTCAGTTTCAGTGTGAAACACTGAACACAGTTTACGTAGCCCATCTTGAACGTGACTTCACGCTTTTTGAATCATAAATGCAGCTGTGTTTTTCACAGACTACATCAAGAGGCGTTTCTTACCAGCAACACACCAACACAAAAATCAGTCATTACAGACTTTTATCTATGATCACTGCGTGATTTCGAAGCGCTTTCTGTGTACAAGTACGACATTTAGCAAATCTATTTCTATTATTTTCGTTTCGTGATCATTGATGTAAACATAGTTTAGAGTTTATGCGATTATGCAATGGTCTTAAATTTCACTTTTGTTTGTAAAAATTACTTGCTGAAGGAGATATAAATTGAGTAGTTTGGAGCGAAAATGTTATACAAAAAAGTTGAGAGGAAAAATGTCAAATGATAAGAGATAGCTATATAGTTCACTATAGTTTACTATACAGTTTACTATATACCCTACAAGAATTTTGCGACAAGTTTACGCAAACGTATGGCGATACGTTGTCACAAAATGCATGAACTGCGATCAACTTCATTCGAATTCAGCATGTTGTATTTTAAAAGGCTGCAATGGCTGATTATTCTACTTAATAATTATTTTGAATAAGTTTTTATTTCTTATTACCAACGATGAGCAACATGAAAAGTTTAAATAAAACCATTTGAAATTATGTTTTCAATGTAATGAAGTTGGATACAATTCGAATTTACAGGTTTACGCA